TTGTCCGGGTCACTTAGCATCGGTGCAACATCCAACTATCAATTTAAAGTGTAAAAGCACTAAATTGGATATATCTGAATAATCCTTATATTATCACATTAACGTCATTTAAGTAACTCGGGTATCTTCATCATTTTTCTGAGCATCAATCAAGTTCATAACTCTTATGGAATCTTACATAATTAAGATTTTAAGTTATCACACACTTATTAAGGTTTCCACTTATATTCTTATGGAAGAGTATCCCCTTTTAATATAACCCTAACATCTTTTCTCTAATCCAAACTAGACTTATAGCTCAATAAATCACGTGGGTATCGATACTCTTCCTTGGGTATCGATACTCCCATTCTAGTGGTATCGATACTCGTCTGAGAGTATCGATACTCATCATCCTCAGTATCGATACTATCTTGAATACCGATACCAAAATTACATTTAATGTTTTGAAAAAAATAACCCAGTATCGATACCCTTATGGGGGAGTATTGATACTCCACATTGGGTATCGATACACTTTACCGATACCAATTTTCTACTAAAATCCGATTTGGGTTCTTGAGTATCGATATTAGCCCCTGAGTATCGATACTAGCCCTGAGTATCGATACCATACTATCAATATTGATACCCTTGATTGGGGTATCGATACTCTCCTCACAGACCTTTGAAATTTTACTCTTCTTCGACGGACAATATCGATACTGTTCTTTTAGTACCGATACTCTCTACCCAGAAAACTTTGTTTCACTTGACCAAAGTCACCCAAATCATTCCTAAAGTTTCACTAAGGCCTCCAAGTATTGTTTAAAGCTTATTTAATACTTAAGGAAAATGAAAGGCCATTACTTTACAAATAAATAACAACAAATCTCGTTTTCATACTTTAAACCCCCTCAAGTGCACAAAAATGGTTCATACACCCAAACTTGCATCAAAACTACATATGATGGTCTACAAGTGGTAGAGAATGGTTAGGACACCTAGAGGCTAAAGATATAATCCAAGGTTCACCCAATCATTTCTTTCTCCTTGTTCTTCTTCTTTGAGCTCTCACCCACCTCCCTCATTAGAATAATCAATGTAAATGAGTTGTTAACTTCTCTTAAGAGCTTAAGAAAGGTAAAACCAAAATTTCTAAAGCTTAGGGAGAATTTAGAGCCTCACACAAGGCCTAACCATAAAACCCTTCATAAACCAAATTATGGCCAACCTCTAAGGGGCTTAACATGGAGCTTGGAAGATAGAGATTACCCAGCTAACCTCTATATTTTCAGATTAGGAAAGAGAACCAACAAATTTATCACATTTGCTTAAGATGGAGAATAGAAGAGAATGGATTTTGAAGAGATAAAAAAACAAAGATGTGATTAAAATGAGGCTCTCTCTTTTTCCTTATTTCTTCTCAAATGACCTCACAAAAATTGAATAGGTTTCAATTGTTAACATTTTAGGGGTTAATTGTTATCATAGTCCTCCTACTTAAAGCTCAATTTATAAAGACCCCTTTTTAACCTTTATGGGTTTAAGGCCAACTATAGCAAGCCCAAACCATTTAATTCTTGGACAAGGTCTTATCATAATCCTAAAAGATTTCTTAACAAATTTTCTCCCAGGTTAGCCCAAACTTTTCCCGAAAATCGTGGTGTTACAATGTAGGAGAATGATAAATTGTTCTGTCAATTAATTACCTTTTAAATAAAGTCCCCAGGAAAGAAAAAATGACAAGACACCATATGAGTTATGAAAAGGACTAAAACATGTGCCATACAAACACTTGAAAGTGTGGGGGTGTCTTTAGAAAATAACGATATTACCAAAACAAATAAAAATTGGTCATAAATAATGGATTATATTTTTTTTGACTATCCTACTATCTTAGAATGATAGACCGATGCTAGTTGGAATTTGATATTCAAGATATCTACGACACAAGTGAATATGTTTTACATTGAGAAGAAAATTCATGTAGTGGAAATATTTTAAAAAATGGTTATAACCAGATTTAGAATGGAATCTGAGTTTGTAGCTCTAGATAAGTCAGATAATAAGCTGAATTGCTTTAGAAATTCTTGGATGATATTCTTGAATGGCTAAAACATGTGTCCTCGGTATGTATATATTGTGTATAGCATAGAATTTCAAGTATAATGGTAAGTTGATATATATGCATCGTCGACACAATACCATAGACATTTGATCTCAAATGGAGTTATTTTTGTTGATTGTGTAAGATTAAATCTGCTAACCAAATGGTCAAATCAAGATCAATTTGAGACACAATACCATAGACATTTGATCTCAAATGGAGTTATTTTTGTTGATTCTGTAAGATTAAAGGATAACATTATGGATCCGCTAACCAAAGGGTCAAATCAAGATCAATTTGAGAAAACATCTATAGGAATGTGACTAAAGCCCATGGAATTTAAAGGCTTTATGTGAAGGAAAACCCTACCTTGTTGATTGAAGATCCCAAGATCATGGTTCAAAGGAAGAAACTAATTGCATAAATTGTGTACGGTCACTGTGGGAGTTTCTCATCCCAAATTCGTACTTATGATGTAAATAATGATCAAAGTGGTATAGGATAAACAAAACTTTTAATGTCCATTGTTTGCTGCGGTGAGCCAAGCAACATAAGTCACCTATGTGAGAGTGAAGTGGGGTTGTTTCAAGGAGACTCTTTGACGTAGTTCTTTCAAACTCTTGTAGAACTAGATGATGTCTATGGCTTTAAGGACATATTCATAAGAAATAAAATTCTTGTCAGAGGGATAGTTGTGTGAAGTATGTCATCGTTTACGCAAATGACAAAATAGTTCAAGGACATCAAATCAATTATTTAGCTTGTAAAGTAAATATTTTGTCACAAGGGAAGGTTCAAAGGAGGATACCTACCTATCCTATGCAATTATCGATCGTAGAGTCTATCACCACACTGAATCAAAATGTTTTTGATAAAACCATCAATTTCATTCGTGTGAGGATTGTTGGAAAAAGAATGAATTTCATTATGGATTTAATATTTAAATTAAATTCATATTCCTTTTACTATTGCAAATTAAAAGATATTTTTAATTTGAATATTAGTAGGATAGTTATTCTTTGAATATGTGAAATTAAAAAGGTATTTATTATCTATTTAACTTTGAATATTAAAGATAACTATATACTTTTGAACGTTTCAAATTAAAATAATATATATTTAAGTTTGAATAGTAAAAGGTGTCTATATCTTTTGAATATTTCAAATTAAAAGATATTATTATCTGTTTAAATTTGAATATTAAAAGATATCTGATTGGAGTAAATCACTCTTGGAAATCCTCTACAAATTATATTGTGCTAACCTAGAGTATTTTTATTTCCATTTATCTTTTATTTGATTTTAAGAAGTTCAACTTATTTTTGTTGTTTTTTAAGTTCAGTTTCGTCTCATATTGTTATTTTGTGTAACAATCTCAATATATAATAAATTAAATTCTTTTTCTTTGATTTTATAATGATGTTTCATCATTATTAATTTTCTATATTATTCTCGTATTATCGTGATTTTTCTAACGAGTTTGTCCCTCTGACATGCTGTTGCAATTATCTCCTCTAGAATCCCAAGCTCGCATACTTGTTTGCAAAGCCATTGATAGTACTGATCCCAACAAGAGCTGAGAGGCAAATAACTAAGTTTCATTCACCTTCACCACCTACCTCTTTGCGGGGGTTCTATCGAAGAAGCCATTTTGTTCTTCAGTCGTGCGATATGAGATTGTATTCTCTTTGGGCATAATCTTGATAATCCCCTTTGAGATTGCGTAATATGAGTTGCTCTCACTGTTGAATTATGTTATATTATTACAGCAAAAATTGTACTTTCCCTTGAGTTCCCCGTTCTTAAATAGCCCTGACTTATTTACACCACCGCCATACAAGTTTCCTTGGATCGGTGAAGCTCACAAGGGAATAGTAATGATTGAATGTAACACTGATATACACCTACTCAATGGATTCTTCCACTTAATTTTATTTATTTTTTAAAAAAAATATTTTTATTCTCTTTTTGGAATGGCATCTCCTCCTAAAACACTTTCAAATATAATTTCAGCAACACGTTCAATACATACACAAGGACAGAAGATCCATTAATATACATGTATGTATGCAATATCCTTGATCAAAATTATATGTTGATATGCCTAGATAGGATGAGGAATGGCGTGTAATATGAGGCAAGTCGAAATTAATGTGATGCTGGATTAAAACAAGTATTGACGTGTCAATGTTTCATTATTTGATTTTTTTTTTAATTTAAGATGTCACGAGATTTAAAATGATTATGAGACAATAATTTAAGTAATTATTTTAATTAAAAATATAATTTAATTATTTGTTTCTTTAAGATGATATAGATTAACATTAACTAAAATAGAATAAAATCTAAATTAATTAATACCAAGTTATCCACGCGCTTAGAAGGAAAGAAAAGAGGGAAGTTAGGGAGCATGGCATGCCCCTAGCCTATATTTCTTGCTAAAATAATCATCACGGGAAATCTGGATAACGATCCGGCGTCGTTTTGACTCCATAAGTCCATATCTACCCTTAAACCGCCACGTACCGATTACGCATTCCACAAATGCGCAATCCTTCGCCGGCGGGAACCATGTGGCATAGCTGGAGTCACTTTGACGGACTTAACCTCAAGGCAATGGGAACTTGTGGTTGAGATTTGAAGATGGAAGCAAAGAACCAGGGGCAGGGAGAAAACAGGCCAATAGAAGACAGACAAAGCAAAAAAACCTATTAAACAAATAAGGGAAAAAGCGCAAGGGTGGGGTTTAGTTGAACCGGCCACTAAATCACGGCCACTTGGCAACAGCCAATGCATTCTCTCCGTTCTGTACACACTACCGTTCACTCTTTTCCAGCCTCAAATTAAACTCCCCCAATTTCTATTGATTTTCAAACTTTCTCCAGGAAAATAATAAATCCACATGAAATTGTAGTGGCTGACATTTCTTCTTGCTTCTTCTCCGAGCTATGGTTTTCTAGTGTTTTTAGTTCTCACCAAATGAAATAAGCATCCTTTCGCTTTACTCGAGTTTTCTTCACCCTTTGACTGTTTTTCTACAAATTCTGCTGATTCCGATCTTCTCATTTCCGGAAGCAACGAGGTCTCCGACGAGCTTCTGGATAACCCATTTTTCACGCGTCATCGTTGCTTCCAGTGTTCTCATCCTCCATGGCTATCGCTCAAGGTACTTCCATTTTCCACCGCATTTATAGGGCTTTCCTTCTCTACTCTCCGTTTTGTGCTCAACTGAGCTTAAAATCACGTTCTTTATACGCAGTTGAGTAGTGAGACAAAAGAAAAGTGACTGAATTCTTTTTTTTTTCCTGGCAACCAAACAAAGGTAAAGAATTAATTTTTTTTATTAAATTTGATTTCTTTTGGCTGTTAATGATGTGCGGAAGTGTGCTGTTGATTACTAATTAAAGCTTTTTTTTCTTTTCATTTCTCGATAGGTTTTGGCGTCTACGGGGTTCGTTTTGGTGAGGATTCTGAATAACGGAATTTTCTTTTAAGTTCATTGGAAGAAGCCGTCTCTTCTCTCTGTTACGGTGGATACTTAATTTTTTTTTTACCTTTAAAATTTTAATTTCCTATAGATTTTAGCTTTCACTCTAAGTTTACTATATGATTAGTTAAAATACTTAGTAATATTAATTGGAATAGCAATAAAAATCAGAGACGGATCTCTATCGATTGTGTTGGCTTGGTGTTTTTGCAGTAGTAAATAGCAGTCATCAGGTTTTGTGGTGTTCAAAAACGGCTTTTACTATTTGTAGTATTAGAAAGAAATGAAAGACTTAATTTTTTTTTTACCTTTAAAATTTTAATTTCCTATAGATTTTAGCTTTCACTCTAAGTTTACTATATGATTAGTTAAAATACTTAGTAATATTAATTGGAATAGCAATAAAAATCAGAGACGGATCTCTATCGATTGTTGTTGGCTTTGGTGTTTTTGCAGTAGTAAATAGCAGTCATCAGGTTTTGTGGTGTTCAAAAACGGCTTTACTATTTGTAGTATTAGAAAGAAATGAAAGAAGGTTTGTGTTTTACGCGTTGCTCGTTAGAGAGGATTTGAAGCGGCGGTGACGCTGCCCAGGTCCTGTCAATGAACACATACTCCTCTGGAGAAGAACTCGTTATTAAGGTATCAAATTTCAAAATAAAATTCTCTTTCTTACTTTTGCTTTTAAATTATGCTTGTTGTAATTGTAAAAATGCAGTTTTTGTATTGAACTTTTATGTCGAATGACAGACTAGGAAGCCTTATACTATTACTAAACAACGCGAAAGATGGACTGAGGAGGAGCATGATAGGTTCCTAGAGGCCTTGAAGCTCTATGGACGAGCTTGGCAACGCATTGAAGGTTTTCACTTGCTTGCCCTCTTAGTTTTCTTTTTACGGTGGGGTGCTGAGGAAAAGTAATATTTCAATTGCAGCTGTCATTTTAGAACTATTGTTTTGTTGATAGAGGTCAAGATTTATTGGATATGTTTGTTAGGACTGAAACGAAACACCTTTGTTATTTATTGTGGTGATTGGAGATATTTTTCCCTTTTCTGTTTCCATGGTGATTTGCAGAACACATAGGAACAAAGACTGCAGTGCAGATCAGGAGTCATGCTCAAAAGTTCTTTTCAAAGGTCATTTGGTGCCTTCTTGTTTATGCTTATGCCTATGTTCAATGTATTTTTCTGCTGCCTAAATTTTGTTTCTGCTTGAAATATTTGAAATATGGATTCATCAACTGCACTATCATGAATGGTTGTGAAATCTTAATGATAATCCTCTAATTTTCTTTTCCCCCTTGTATAAGCAATTTTTTTATTTTAAACAAAAAAGGCGATATAAGAAGTTTCCTTGGTACATTCAAAAAACAGATTGAGGAGAAAGACTTGATACCTAATATATGAATAGATTACATTTCTATCTGTGCCAAAAACATCAATCGTATATCACTGAGATAAAAAGAATATGACCAATTATGCGAAGAAGCACACTGAAGTTTATTTATTAATATCTAAGAAAGGCAGAAACTTTGAGTTAAATGAGAATCTGAGCTGCTGAATACCAATTTCTTCAAACCATATTTAGGGTGAGAGTCTTTAGCAACTCTACAAATTTGGTTTTGGAGATGTCAGCAATTTGAATTCTATTTATGTAGTCTCTGTATGAGATTGGCTGTGCAAGATGGCTTATCATCATTGGAGTGTGATCTGTAATTGAAAAACAAGGCAATGTTTCATTTTTTAAGATGTTAAAAATGGTTACTTCCTAATATCACTATGTATTTCTCCAGCTTTTAATGCACAAGGCATACACGATAGGTCGCTTTTGAACTTGCTGATGTAATTTTTGTAGTTAATCTACCACCGCTTTTTGTTTGATTTATATATGTTGATATTACTGGTGTTATTCTCTTTAAACATTTTTTTTTGATAAGAATGGAAGGCCTCGTTAAAAACCCCCCTCTTGATTAATGGAGCTTGAAATTAAGCTCCTTAATCAGCGGAAGGAGGAAAAGAGTGCCTTAGAACTTTTATTAATGGAGAAACATTTACATAAAATTTAACAATTACACTAGAATACATTACATAAAACTTAACCACTCCTCCTGGTAGAACATACTACTCACTGGACCATAAAAAACCACATTTTAAACCTTACAATCAATCTATCCCCTTCTTTGCTAGACTGTCCGCCTCCCCATTGCACGTCCTTGGAATCCACCTCACTGAATGTACCTTCCCAGTGATAAGAGTCGAAATCTGATAAACTAGAGGAGAGAAGAAGACAAGAGCCAAAACCGGGACTGGATCCACCCACTGCAGATGAACAATCACTCTCAACGACCCGATAGATTCCCAACTAGATGACAAAAAAATTTCAATGCCTCTTTTAATAGCCTTTAAATCAACAAGTGGAGGAGTTCCTACGCCAACATTCTCTGAAAAAGTCAAAAGGGTGCAACCATTCCAATCTCTTAATATACCTCCAATTCCTCCACCCGAACCATCTAGTCTAACAGCTCCATCGACATGCAATTTAAGAAAATCAACCGGAGGGGGAATCCACTTAAAAACATCACAAACTCTGTCTTTAAAAGGTGTAACTCCATCTGCCACAGAAGGATTACCAATCAGCACATCCTCATGAATGGTAATCTTAGGGAATTTGGCTAGAAACCATTTAGAAAGCTTGAATCTAACAATGAAGAACAAAGACAATCTGTCAAGAGGAGAATCTTCAAATACCATAGCATTCCTAACTTTCCAAATTGACCAAAAGATGACTCCCGGAATAAACTTCCAAATTATCGAGTTCACCCTCAACTCCCCCCAGGAAATAAGAATAGAAGGAGGGTCTTGGGGTAAAACCAGCGATACATCCCATAAACTAGCTAATTATTCCATAATTCCCAAACAACAAACGCAAGAAAAAATAAAGCTACACCGATCCTCTTTTTCCACATAAAGGACAAAGAATGTCGGCTCCTATGGTAACCTCTCTTAACCAATGCTACACCGATTCCTCTTTTTCCTTACATAAAGGACAAAGAATGTCGGCTCCTAGTGGTAAACCTCTCTTAACCAACTCAGCTTTGACTGCTACTTTCTGATGAGCAAGCTGCCAGAGGAATACTTCCACCCGAGGTGGAGCAAATCCCATCCAAACCCCTTTTGACCACAAAGTATTACTCCCCAACACAAGGCCAAGAGAACTTCTGCATGATTTTGTTGAAAACAGACCATCTCCACTTGCAGTCCACAAAAGAAAATCTTCCACCAACTCTGAAAGTTGAATGTCCTTTAGTTTAGACATCAGATCCATCAATTGAACCAATTCCCAATCACTTAAACTCCTAGTTTGAACATTCCACACCCAACCGCTTGGTTCAAAACTGCCAAACTCTGCAATCTTCCCCTCTTTATTAGGAGAGAGCACAAAGATTCAAGGGAAAAGAGATTTGAGAGAGCACTCATCAGCCCATACATCGTTCCAAAAAGAGATGGATTGTCCATTTCCCACTATCAGTTTCGAATTTGATCTAAAGCTCATACCTTCCGAATCATTCTTCAAGTAATTGTTAGCAATACCTCTTAAAATCCAAGAAGATTGTGAGTGAGGAACCTCCCTAATAGACATTGTATTACAATTAACCTTGAGTTTGCTGCACAACACACATTTCCATAAGGAACTTTTATCATTGGCGAATTTCCACACCCACTTGCCAAGAAGGGCCCGATTGGTGAGATTCAAATCTAGAACTCCAAGACCACCACAATTCAGAGGCTTGCAAACCGTGCTCCAGTTTACCCAATGAATTCTCCTCTTTCCCTCTTTATCATCCCATAAGAAATTAGCATTAACGAGTTTAACTTCTTACTTATTTTGCATGGCATTTTGAACAATGATAAGAAAAAAATTAGTAAGGAAGTTAACACCGATTTCAATAAAACTGTCTACCAGCCAATGACAAACATGTAGTTTTCCACCCAGCAAGCTTAGCACTGAAATTTCGAAAAACTGGATCCCATAAAACTTCCAAGTTTTTCTTAGCTCCCAATGGAAGTCCCAAATATTCTGTTGGAAAAGAACCTACTGAACAACCCATTTGTGCTGCCCAATCTGTTAAAACATCCTCTTCCATATTGATTCCCAATAGCTTGCTCTTCGCCAAATTAAGATTCAGACCTGCCATCAAACTAAAAATTCCCAACACTCTTTTAACATTCTTGATCTGAGGAAGAGAGGCTTGGCAAAAAATGATTAAGTTATCGGCAAACTGAAGATGAGACAATGTAGTAGAATTTTCTGGTTTCCCAATAACAAAGCCTTGAAATAAACCCTTATCAATTGCTTTAGAGAGCATTAAATGTAGCAACTCTCCAACAATGTTAAACAGGAGCGAAGAGAGGCTACAACCTTATCTTAGACCCTTGGCCATTGGAAACTCTTACGAAGGAGACCCATTAACAAGAATCGATATCGAGGCTGTCGAAAGGCACTAAGAAATCCACGAGCACCATCTACTTCCAAAACCCATCTCTGCCATTGCTCTAAATAATATTGGCCATTCCACAGAGTCATATGCTCTTCGAAAATCAACTTTAAGAACAACCCCTTGCCGCCCTTTCTTTCTCCAATAGTCAATACCTTCATTCGCGATGAAGGCGCAGTCCAACAACTGTCTCCCCGGAATAAAAGCAAACTGTGACTGACTAATAATATCTCCAACACAGTAACTCAACCTCTTAGATAAAACTTTAGAGAGAATCTTATAGAGACTGCCTACTAGACTAATAGGTCTAGTCCTCCACATTGTCCGAATGAAGCTTCTTCGGAATAAGCGTAATAAACGCGTGATTGATCCATGATCCCATTTCCTGCCTAAGAAGAAATCCAAAAAAAATTTCACAACATGCTCCTTCAAACTAGGCCAAAATTTCTTGAAAAATCCCATGGTGAAGCCATCCGGTCCTGGTGCTTTAGAACTGTCCGAGGTAGCAACCGCTTGCCATATTTCCTGTTCTAAGAACTGCTCCTCTAACTTTGAAGATTGGACCCCTGTCAGCTTTGCGAAATCCAGTGATAAATCAACAACTTCCATAGTTAACTTAGAGCTGTAGGCATTCTTAAAAAAATCCGCAATATGAGACTTGATCGATTGCGGATCTGAGACAATCGAGCCATTAATCTTCAAGCATGTGATTTCATTCCTTTTACTCCTCTTGAGCGCAGACAGATGAAAATTTTTTGTATTTCTGTCCCCATCCTTAATCCATTTTGCCCTTGATTTCTGAAACCAAACACTTTCCTCAATCCGATACAGCCTCCAAAGATCCGATCTGGACTGCTTTAATTGATCCCACTCTTGTTGGATGAGAACACCACCTTGAGCTTTAAATTCAAGATCATTAATCTTCAATTCCAAATCTGCAATTGACCCAGAAATCCTATGGAATTTTCTGCCAGACCAGTTTCTGATTGATTTTTTAACTCCTTGTAAAAAGTTGAAAATACCCCTTCTCTTCCTACTCACCCTCCAATTATCCAAGGACGATTTAAACAAGCCCTCAAAACCTTCCTCCTCTAACAGGTAATTAAAAAATATGAACAGTTTAGGACCCCAATCCACAGATTTTTCCTCCAAAGAAATAGGATTGTGGTCAGATAAGACCTCGGTAATAGGCTTTGGACGATATTCGGAAAACATATCAGAAAATTCCCAGAAATTAGGAACCTATCTAGTCTGACCCAAGTAGAAGCTTCTCTATTGTTACACCATGTAAACCTTCCCCCAACCAAAGGAAGATCGATTAAGTTAGATTGATTCAAAAAATTCCTAAGAATATCAATGGAGAGCCAGTTTTGGGACTTTCCCAACTTCTCTGCCGGATCAAGGTACACATTAAGATCACCCCCAATGCAAACTGACACGGTTTGAGCAGCAACAAAATCCAGCAACTCCCTGAAAAATTCCGCCTTCTTAGAATCAATGGAAGGGCCATACACATTAATAATCACACACTCTTCTCTAGAGTTCTTAAATTTCCCGAAAACTGCAATGAATCTGCCACTTAAATGGCTATTGGAAACTTCAAACTCCTTATCATTCCACAAAACCATAAGACCACCTGCAGACCCCACTGCTGGAGCGAAAGATCCTCCATTAAGAATACTTCCACATATCCTTTTCCTTAGACTATGGGATCAAAATTCTTACTTTGTTTCTTGAATAAAAAGTATGTATGGTCTGAGCCTCTTAACCATATTAGCAATAACTCTCGATTTTTCCGTTTTACCAATACCCCTGACATTCCATGAAATAATCTTAGTCTTTATCATAAATACAATTATGAAACCAAAACCTCGAAGCAGAAAATCATCCAAAAATCTACTCCCCCGACTTCAACCCTCCCCTACTATCATCCAAACCCTCCAAATTTATAATTTTCTCCAAAAATGCCTTCTTCCCCTCTTTGAATAAAATCCCCAAAATTTTACTGACTTCCTATGTAGCCAAAGCCTCCTCCAAAAAGACTGAGAAATTTGTAGAAGACACAGTAGCAGGACTGACCACATCCAGAGCTTCTCTTATCAAAAGCCTTCTCTTTCTTCTATTCTCATTCCTAGCCTCTGATCCAGATTGACAAACTGTTGCAACACCTTTTACACTCCGCGAAAGCTGTAAATGATCACCTGCAGAAATATGACGAGCCACCTTCCTCCTCGACCCCCATGGATCTTCCCTCCAAAATAGCAGGAAGGGAATGATTACACATCATAGAATCGGTATTAATCCTTTTATGGTCAGTATGCTCCATTGATTGTATCTCCTTCTTCTCTACTCGGGTTAAACCACACCTTTCTTTCTCTAGATCTTCGATACACTCTTGAGATCGAGCCAGAATTCCACCTTCCTATCGATGCATTTCTCATATGCAGACTATTAGACAGATGCCCTAAAGGACACCAACTCCTTAAAACATTTGCAGAAGACTTCTTGTTGATTCCAATCTCCTGATTACTACCTATATGAATTGTCCTTGCTTCCTTTGCCTCCTCTGATCCTTCTGCACTGCTAACTTCCTTATCCTGAGCTATTACTTCTTTAACCCTTCCTCTTTTTAATTTTTTGAACTCCAACTGTCCTTAGCCCCACCAAGAATCGGAAGTGAATCTAAGTCTGTCGAAACAAAAATCACATTTTGCATAAATTGTTCGACCGAACCAGGTTGATGTTGTTCTCCTAAAACTTCCACCCTAGCCTCCTTATGATTACCATAGCCCAAATTAAATAAATTAACATCTGGCCCAGAGGGAGAAAATCTTGAGTTGTTTGAGTTGGGCTCACTCATGTCCTCTGACTGGGCTTTATCACTATCAATTAAAGGATCATCCCTTAAACCAAGGCCCCTGTAATCCCCTTTAAAATTCAAATCTTCTGGAAGCTCTGACATCTTTAAACCCCTAGGTTGACCTTCTCCTTCCTGCAACATTAAATTCTGACTTCCACTGCCGCCTGCCACTGTTTTACAGACGTCTTCTACCAACCACCTATCTACTGTGTCCCTATAGTCCTCAGCACACAATTTTTAACTACCTACCCCGCCTGATAACCTTTCTTCTTTCTCCTCTGATGAAGCTTCATCTCTGGACTCACCATCTCCGGCCACCGTAAAATTTTCTACTGAAGAGCTTTCCAGTTTTGTATAGACCGAACCCACATTAATTTTTACCTTAAAAGATCTCCCATATGAACCCAATGTAACAGTTTCCTGGATATCAAAAGGACTGACCACCCTCAGCAAGACCCGAGCCACCGCCAAGTCTTCTCTTCTGGTCGTCGACTCGTGAATACACACCAGCTTCCCCCATCTTGAGACCAGCTTTTCCATAAAAGGAGCGTTCCAGCATTCCGAGCAGTTCCACTGAACAGAATGCCATTGGGACACCATCCACACTCATAAGTGGATCCAGCCAATCAAACCAGAATGCCACTTCCTCTCGTCTGCTCGACCATACCTCCTCGAACTCTTCCATCGAACCAAAAGTTAAGATACACGAGTTCCATGAATAACCCCATTTAGCTCCCTTGACCTTGATCCCATCGCTAGCCAGTCCCTTCACTACTATTTCCAAATCTAAATGGGGTTTGATAATCCCAGTTAGTGATCTTTTAACCCAGTCATATTCATCCGAGGGGATATGCATCTCCCACAGATTCCTCAACCCAACATCCTTGCCTGGATGACCCTCCTGAATCTCTTTACACGCCAGACCTTCTTTCTGCCCATCATAAGATACTACTGCATCCTTATACGATCTCTCATCCCTCAGTCGACTGAAGAACTCAGGTCCAACTCTTTTTCTCCATATTCCTCCCTTGATCAACTTGTCCTCATCCCTTCTGACATTACTACTAACAACTTGCCTAAACTTCTGCTTCTGATACTTAGCCACTCCTACCGAGATTTTCTTACCATCTAACCATATACCATTGACATTTGCTATCGCCTTCTTCAACCCATCCTCCTTTGAAAACTGGATGAAAGCAAACGTATGGTTTCTATAATCCGGCTTGTTAGATCTACTCGGAATATAGACACGCAAAACACTCCCCTGCTTGAAATAATTCCTTTACTGTTCTCCATGTTACCCTTTTACTCAAATTGTCCACAAATACTGTCCAATCCTCGCCGGAGGACTGGCCACCTATGACACTCTCTCTCTCACCCACTCTCTCTCTAACACTCTCTCTCATGTTTTTTAGATTCGTAACTCAAAACTAATTCTGTTTAAACATTAGCAATACTACCAAGTTTGTACCAGAAAGTAGTTAGATCTAAAAATAAGAATTTTTTTTCCTTCCATTTCTGGGATTTGATAAAGTTTGAGGATCATACATCTATAAAGATAAGTTCTTTCTTGGTAGTGTGGAACATAAAATTCTGATCTGCATATTTTTCTTTTCATCAGAAAGATTATACCTACTAGGCGATAATATAGGGATCAATCTTCCCAATAGTACCTTAAGTTTTGCAGCCAAAGCTTAGCAGCGACATGTCTGTTAGATGTTTCTTGTAGCTGATTATGATGTTAGACTTGAGGTATGCACCTCCATAGATCCATCTTAAGAGATTATCCTTCTTTAGTGAATGTGGTATACATCTTCAGTTGTAGGAATCACACATAAAATTTTACAGGATTCTTCTCTTAAAGACTTATTTCCTGCAGGTTATTGGCAGTCAACTGCCTGTTATGTGAAAATTAGGTACATGGTAATGCATTTCTTCTTCCTTTTTGTTTCCTTTCAAACTTTTGATTTCACAGTCAAATGCTCACATTCTATTGGTAGTAGTTTCCAATGTTTCGATTAGCTCATAATTGATGAATCTTACCAGCAAGGTTAGTAAACCAAGATTTTTCAAGACCATTATGATTAAAGCTTTGCTAAATACTCTCTTCAGTCTGAAGTACTAATCATCAGTTATCTCAATTTGACGTGAAAAAGAACATCATGGATAGTTTGATTCACATTATACGGATAAGTTGGTATTATGAAAGATTAAATTATTTATGTGGAACTTAAACGGCAATTCTTTAGAAATCAATGGTAATTTTTCTTTGCATCTATATAGACTAATCCTCTCTCTCTCCCTCTATGAATACATTTAAAAGTTCTCTTTGGAAAATGGGGTTTGGTTTAGCCAAGCAAAACTAACTGCTTGGCTAAACCAACCCCTTTTTTTTATTTAGTCAATCTTTGCATATGTATATGTTCAACTGTAGCCTGTGTGTATGTCTGCTACATTTCTCTTCTGTAATTTTCATTTTATTGATACTACTGACGACATTCTCAGCTGGAGAAGGAGGCACTTGCTAAAGGTGTACCGATAAGTCAAGCTCTTGACATAGAAATTCCACCTCCACGTCCTAAAAGAAAGCCAACCAATCCTTATCCTCGAAAATCCGGTGTTGCTAACACAGTTCAAGAGGGCGTTAATGATGGAAAACCCAAAATGCCGATATCTTCTTTGTGTTGCAAGCAAGTGTTGGACTTGGAGAATGAACCACTTCCAGAGGTTAATTTCTCCTCCTCACCTACTTTATTCATGCCCTTAATTATGTTTTTTATTTTTTTGCCTAAGCTTCAAATATATCTTGTTTGTCAGAGACCTAATGGAGATGAAAAGGCAACCAATCTGAAAGAAAACCAAGATGAGAGTTGCTCTGAGGTCTTCACTCGTCCCCTTGAAGTGAATTGCTCCTCTGCGTCTTCCATTAAGAATTTTATACCAAGATCAGTAGCACTCATAAACTCTTGCACATTTAGGGAGTTTGTACCTTCTCTAAAAGAGGTAATAAATCATGACAAACATGAATACTGTGTTACTCTTGAGCTTGAAATTTATAAAGCTTATGAACTTATTGTCCAGCAGACTATTCATGATAATGGAACAAGTAAGGCTTCAAACTTGGAGAGTTCTTGCACTTCATATCAGAAACCAGCTCAAGGCCAGAGAAAAGATGATTCGGATGGTGTTTTATGCGCAGATGAGATGCAAGCCACTCAAAATTATCCTCGACATGTTGCAGTGCATGTCCTAGATGGAAGCCTGAAAACATGTGCTCAAAATCCTTCCCTGGATATGTCATTTCAGGATTCTATATTTCACGCTAATAGCGATGTTCATGGACCTAACTTGTTTACAAATCCAGGTGCATCTGCAACTACCGAACATCAGAATTCTGCCCCAAGATCTACTCATCAGGCATTGTCACCTTTTCATACTCCCTTTTTGCATCTTCGCCTCAATCAAGAGGACTGTCAATCATTTCTACATGTCTCCACTTTTTCCAGTCTCATTGTATCTACTTTGTTACAGAATCCAGCTGCTCATGCTGCAGCAAGCTTTGCAGCTACATTTTGGCCATATGCAAATGTTGATTGTTCTGGCGATTCTCCCACAAGCGGCCTAGGCGGTTTCTCACCCAGACAACTGAACTCTGCTCCAAGTATGGCTGCAATTGCGGCTGCAACTGTAGCTGCTGCCACTGCATGGTGGGCCGCACATGGACTGCTTCCTGTATGTGCTCTTCACCCAGGCTTTACCTGTGCTCCTGCATCCACTGCTGCAGTTCCACCAATGGAGAATGGTAAAGCTCCAACTGCAAAGACGGAACACAATGATAAAACCGATCAAGCTCTCTCCATGCAGGACAAACAACTAGACCCTGAATACTCTGAAGCTTTGCAAGGTCAGCAGTCACAATCTAAATCACCTACTTCTTCATCTGACTGTGAAGAGAGAGGAGATGCAAAAGTGAATACTGGAGTGAAAGCTACCGATGATGAGAAGGCTGCTAAAGTAATTGAACCTCAGGATGCAAATAAAACGAAGAACATAAAACAAGTTGACCGCTCCTCATGTGGCTCCAATACAAGTTCCAGTAGTGAGGTAGAGACAGATGTGTTAGAAAAACATGAAAAAGACAAGGAAGACCCAAACGGTGCCGACGCAAATCATCCACAAGTCGAATGTAACCGTCGAAGTAGAAGCAGTAGCAACCCGAGTGATTCTTGGAAGGGGGTATCTGAAGAGGTGAGTTGATGTGTCTATTTCCATATATAGCTTAATTATTATTCTAGTTGCATTGTAACATTGCAGCTCTATGGCTCCGCTACTTATTTCAGGGGCGACAGGCTTTTCAAGCCCTTTTCTCCAGAGAGGTATTGCCACAAAGCTTTTCTCCTTCACACAAGGGCAAGAACAAGGGGCAGCAAAAGGAAAACGTAGGTGAACACAAGCAAAATCCAGTCGAGAAAGATGGAGAAACATCAGCTTTAGACCTCAACAGCTCTTGTTCTGATCATCCAGAAGTCAAGAAAAATGTATTATCAAGAAATCAGAACAACACTGCAGAAGAGGGCCTTCTGACGATTGGACTAGGACATTCGAAACATAGGGCCAGTCGAACTGGATTTAAACCTTACAAAAGGTGTTCTGTGGAAGCCGAGGAAAACAGAGTGATGAACACAGGCAGTCGAAGCGAAGAGAAAGGCCCGAAGAGAGTACGCTTGGAAGGGGAAGCTTCAACTTGAGTTTACGTACTATATTGCATGCGATAAACAAACACAACATTTGTTCGTTGCATGTAATCCCTTAAGGCTTTCCCCCATATCTTATATTCCACTTCATATGTTGATTATAAAGACTTGCATTGCATCGCAGCTCACGAGACTTTTAGTGTAATGTTGTGTACTATCTAATATTCTACATTGACTGATTCGCTTTCCCGGACTTTTATGTATGCCACTGCTGTTACGAACTCCTCTGATATAGACGCATTAAAGTACAGAATCCGAATGGCCTTTAGTTTTGGCCCCTCTGCACAAAATACATGCGTTTTGTCTTTGTTATTATTTTCCTGCATCAAGCTGAAGCCTTTTTTATGCGACATTAAAGTGATGCCCCTTTGGTTTATATTTTTACTGTTTTTATGCTTATTTTGTTATCTTCCAAGCCTTAACTATATATGTTTTGGCATTCGTATATGAATTGATTAATTGTTTGCTGTGTTTTTTTTTTTACTTCCAAAATGTTAATAATGCAACATATTTTTGAGGAGTTAATGAACTTGGAGACTCATTACCTAAGGTATTGCTCAGTACTAATTCTGGCTATCATTTAGGAGTCAAATTATTTGGTATAACAAGTGGCTATTAAAACCTAATAATCTTGTCATAAAAGACTTTGACCAAGGTTACAAAATCAATAAATCTATAGATAATTTTATTGAAATCGTGTGCAATTTTAATTATTTTGAAATAAAAAAAACCATACGTGTTTTTAGTAAAATTATCTTTTTATGTGTTAAAAATATTAACAATTGAAAGTTAAAATTGTTTTATATCTTCGACATGTAAGATGTATGTTTTATAATACAACAAATCCATTATTCTAAAAAGAATTATTTAATATGGTATATTGTTTCTTTCAATTTAATTATTTTAATTTGTTTCAAAATCGTTATTATTCCTAGAGGTCACGAGTTCGAGTACAAGCGTATGCAGCATGATGATTGAGCGTTCATTCTCAAATAATTGAGAGTATTTAAACATATACTACTGTGTAATCATCTTAGCTTATAAAAAAATTTGTTTCAAAATCGTCAAAACTGCGTATGATTCTAATAATGATTGACATTTGCATATAATTATTGATGACTTTAATTTTTTATTTTTTAAAACACATATATAAAAATAATTTTATTAAAACAATCAAATAATTTTAACAATTATTATAAAAAACATTGTGAATCTTTTGGTAATTTTGAGGTATTATTAATTTTCAGATTCTTTTATAACGTTTCCCTAAATTAATTTCTTAGAAGTTATATAAATTTTTATTTTTTAAATTAATTAAATAAAAATAGATGAGACTATGAATTTGATAACAGTAGGTATAAAAGTTAAATAATGCCTCAAACATTTCATAAAATTCCCAGATACCGAAGCCTTGAAAACCATGCAAACTCTTCTTACTACTCTCCATACCATACGAGCTATATCAATAAATTAATAGTTAAAAGTGGAAAATTTTAATCGTTTATTTAAGCTGTTTCAATCGTAAACCTGCCCCCGACGTAAATTGCACACTGTTCGATGACTATGGGGTGCCAATTGTAGCCCATTCCACAGACCAATCTTCTTCACTTCCACAACTTCCATGGCCACACTCCTACTCTACGCATCACCCTTGTTTTTCATTCGTTTCAACCCACTTGATCCCGCCACGTGGCTATTCTCTCCCTTCTCATTTGTGGGTCTTGTTTGGAAACGGCCGAAACCTGAGAACGATTCGCCAGTCTTCGTGGAAAGATGGAGCTGGTTCTGTCGTTTTTAAGTACTGTTGTAATAATATTTCAGAGAAAGCCATGAATATGATTCTTAGGTTACGTGGGAGTGTAGAAGTTTACAAGGCAATGTTGGCTTTAGTTTTAGTTTCGTTTACTCTTGTTTCTTCTCTTAATCAACCAGCCATGGCGTTTGAACAGAAAACGCAATCCCTTTTGATCCCAAACCAGTGCAATGAATTCAACTAGCCTTTACCTCCAAATCTGCGGTGAAAAATATCGAGTTCTCGATTTCTTCTCCGACGGTGTACTTGTTGACTTCCCTGGAACCTCCGGTTGTCGTCAATACAACGACTTGAACGCCTTCTGTTTCACCAAAAACGACTACTTTGTTATCTCGTGTGACAACGTCATAGGTCTATACGATTGTGAAGACTCTTCTTTGTGTAAAGTTGGTTGTGAAACAAACGACGTGCCCGGTTGTGATGGCAACAATGGGGGCTCCCTTGTTTGCTGTTATCCGCTTTCCGATCATAACATTTGGCATTCCGGTGATGGGTTTTCGAGTTTTTCCAAGTTTTGGTGCAGAGGATTTTCTTCATGGCTAGTTTCCCGGGGAACCAACACCGGAAAACGCGGGGTTACGTTGGAGTGGGCAGTTCCAAGAAATTCATTTCATAGAGTTTGTGCTAGTGATGCTGATATGGTGAATGCAACTGCAGTCGAAGCAGGGGTCAGATGCTTGTGCAAGGATGGACTCGTCGGTGATGGATTTGCCAATGGGGCTGGATGCTTGAAATGTAAGTAGTTTAATATTCATTTTTGAGTAATCAAGTCAGGTTGATTTGTAGTTAAATGAGTGTTATTTTCCATGTTTTGTATGAATCTGCCATTGACAGCCTGCATCAAGGAGGGGCAAGAATCATATGGGGAGGAGTGTGACAGTCCAAAACATAGTCAAAGGAAACTTGTAATTTTGGCTGGTATGTTATTCTGATATTTTTATTTTGTTAAACATTATTAGAATTGATATATCATACTATATTTCCATGTAGGTGTTCTTGCTCTACTTTTCATCCTCGTCTCCTTGTTCTTATTCCTCTGCATACTGAGACGACCTGTTAAACAAGGCGCTTTCCACCTAGAACAAAACCATTATCACAGTACCACGTCGTTTCGGAAAGCTTGTAGGACTAGATTGTTTACATACAGAGAACTAGGTGAAGCAACCAGAGCATTCGAAGACAGTCAGAAGCTCTTAAACAGCACAAACGGTTCAATTCATGCCGGGGTCCTTGGGGATGGTTCGCATATAGCTGTGCAGAAGGTGCGGTGCGAGACTGAAGGAGACCTAATCGATGTCCTATCGAGAATTGAGCTTCTATCATCTGTTTTACATAGGAATTTAGCTCGAATAATCGGATGTTGTATCGAGTCCAGTTACACCATAATGGTAGTGTATAGATATCCCGCAAACGGCACCTTGGAGGAACATCTGCAAAATAGCAAAGGACAAAAACTCGGCCTGGACTAGTACAAAAGGCTAAGCATAGCTGCTGAAACCGCAAGTGTCCTAGCATACTTGCAGTATGAGATTTCTCCACCTATCTTTCACCGTGGTCTCAAATCATCCGGCTACATCTTTCTTGATGTGGACTTCTATGTTATGGTTGCTGGCTTTGCATTCCTTAGCTCCGGGTCTGGAAACGGTTCGAACCTACGCAACAACTACGAAACTCCCTACAAAAACGATATCTATGACTTTGGTCTGTTATTGTTAGAGATAATTTCAGGCACCAGCTATTCAGACATGCCAAGGGTAGCCATGGAGAAAATCAAAAGTGGGAAGCTAGAAGAAATAGTGGATCCATCTCTTTACTACCACGAGCAGCCGATAGCTTGCAAAGAGCAAATAGAAATAGTAGCAGACATAGCAACCAGATGCTTATTGTTTGGTGGAGATGGCAAAATAGGAATGATCGATGTCACAAAGGAGCTGTTTCACCTTGCAAAAGAAAACACTGGAGGAAGCAAAATGGGACCTGGATTGGAAGAAACATTTTCAAATTCAAGCCTGCTTCAGATGATATCCATGTCTCCTGACTCAATACATGTGCCTTAATTGCATCTGTTCATAAAACCATCCCAACCAAGGAATTTCCATTTAGTCCATTTCAGCTGCAAGTATGCCGATCACCTGCATTCACATCTGATTGCATATGTATACAGATTTTATGTACATCTTGTGGATTCAGTACCTTTTTATGAAATTACATTAGTTGCTGCTTCCACATAATGTATCACCAACATGATTATGCTTGTCTTGAAAACCATCAAATAATCTAGTCCAATACATCCAACTAGGTGTACGGTATGAAAATTGAGTCTGATTTAGAGTTTTGAGTTTAGGGTAGAAAAATTGCACTAAAATAAGGTGATTGCTTCTATATAAAAGATGGAAGCCTTAGAAACTTTTTTTTTATCCGTTCAATATAACCATTTTATTTAATTAGGTGTAGGCAGTTTTTTTAGCAGAAAATGAACTACATTTACTAGCAAAAGCCTAGCCAGAGAAAAAAAGAAAGGGAGAGCTGAGAAGGTGAAGCATTGGACAAAAGCCTTAAACCAAACCCCTTTTTTTCCCAACGACAGACACATGCAACAGCTTGCCTTGAAGCATTGACCAACCTGTTCTGTCTCCTGTCCAAACTTTCAACTCTCCCCATGCTATAAATATTTACCTATAGATATCCGTAGCTTTAGAATCAACGCATCATTTCCCATTTCTCGTCCCTCAATAATCTAAAACCCTTTTTTTCTGTTTCTACAGTACTCTTATCCCACAACCAAGGTACGTGCGTTGTTTTTCATTTTTCTGCTCTGTTTAGATTCATAATGGAAGCCCTTTCTGTAGTTTTGTCTATTTTATTTTATAGTAGGATGCATTGCACGTTTATTCAGCTCGTATTTCATGGCCGTATCATTTCTGGGTTTAAGTGCAAATGGCACAAGTTCCAATGGATTTTGTTTATCCTACTGGAATTTATGTTCAAGCTTTGAACTTTGGTTTTGCCTGAAAAGCAGCCATTTTTGTTTACTTTTATGCTGAGAAAAGAAGCTACAGAAGAATTTCATTCTGTAAGAAATTTGCTTTCTTCTTGTTGATTTATCCATGAAAACTGATGAGTAGATTGAGATAAATTACTATAATTTGATTGAATTTTTGATGCAATTTGTTGTTCTTGTGAAAAAAAAAAAACAAGATGACCCACGCAGAAGGAACTGCAGCTGGAAGTCCACGACAAGTACCCAAACTGAACGAGAGGATCCTTTCGTCTATGTCAAGAGATCAGTTGCTGCACATCCTTGGCATGATCTTGATATTGGTACCTATCCATTGATCGAATAATCGATTCGATGTTTGCGTTATTGTCCGAATGAATTATCGGATTGCAAAACTGACATGTCACTAACGTATTTGTCTGCAGGACCCGATGCTCCAAAAGTTTTCAATGTGTATGTGTTTTTTTCCAACTTTGTAAGGGCTAAAATTTCACTTCCATTACATTCATCCAGTCCCAGATAAGCAATTATTGTTTTTGACTAGGAAAAAATGAAGAAATAATAGACATTAGCATTTCTTACCGCGTATCAACAGTGTTAATTGTTTGTTTGTTTCGATTTCTTGTTCGACCGGACAGGTTGTCGAGATATCGAAAGGTAGTAAGGTCAAATATGAACTTGACAAGAAGTCCGGAATGATTCTGGTATGAAAAGATTAACATCCTTGGAAGATATAAGTTCTCAGAAAACGGCAACCATGTGATCATAATGCTGTGTTTTCTAACAGTTTGAATGAATCTCAGGTCGATCGAGTTATATATTCTTCAGTGGTATATCCTCACAACTATGGTTTCACACCTCGCACGCTGTGTGAAGACAATGATCCCATGGATTGTTTGGTTATAATGCAGGTAAAACTGCATATCTGATCTTAGAATCCAACATGAAGTTCGTTAAGCCAAATTTAGTCCAAGAACTTGATTGTTGCATCTTTGAACAATCATCTACAAGTACTGAAATCATGTCATTTCTTTCAATAGGAGCCAGTTCTTCCTGGATGTTTCTTGCGAGCCAGAGCCCTCGGACTTTTGCCCATGATCGACCAGGTACTATGATCAAGCCAGTTCTTGTTCCCTTCAGTTTGTGTTAAATGCTAACCTCATTATTGTCATCCAGGGGGAGAAAGATGATAAGATCATTGCAGTTTGTGCTGATGATCCTGAGTACAAACATTACACCGGCATCAAAGATCTTCCCCCTCACCGTCTCACCGAGATCAAGGGTTTCTTCGAAGACTGTATCCTTTCCTATATCATATACTCATTGTTCCTGATCGTTTAATCCTTTTCATGCTTCCTTAACATCACACAGACAAGAAAAACGAGAACAAAGAGGTTGCGGTGAATGACATTTTACCTTCAAGCACTGCATATGAAGCCATCCAGCATTCAATGTAAGTCCTTCCATAAAAGGAACTCATCTTATTAGGGAATTCCCATGTCTAAAGCTATGGTGCTATGGTGCAGGGACCGGTATTCCGAGTACCTTCTGCAAACCCTGAGGAATACTTGGGCTCAAAAAGGCTAATTTCCAATGCATGACCCATACTAAATAAACCATTTTATTACCAATAAGAATTATTACAATTGTAAACATCAATTTTTTTTATTTTATTATTATTATTAAAATTATCATTATTATTATGTATTATATATATATTATTATTATTATTAAAAAAAATAAAAAATAATTACAAGCCCAAGAGGAGGCCCAACTCTGGCCCGTTTTACAACCAACTTGAACCAGGCCCGAGAGAAGAGTGAAGAGACTTACCAAGCGGCGTCGGAAACCAAACGTCGTCAAACCGCCGTTTAATCGAAGGTAAAAAAAACCCTTGATTTATTTTAGATCTAGGGTTATCAGAGGGTTATTAGGAAAAGCGGGGCTTGGATTTAGGACAAGGGAAAATCGGGCTTCGATTTGGGGTGGATTTTGTAATTTCCGGCCACCGTAAACGGTGGTCGGCGGCGGCGATCGTCGTCGGAAACGGAGATCGGTTTTCTTCTCCGGTGAAGGAAAATGAGAGCTCTCTCTCTTTAGAGAGAGAAGCAAAACCAGAAAAATGAAATAATAGCCCAAGGAGAGCCGGCTATTTGGTTATTAATACCCTCATCAAAACGACGCCGTTTTGATGAGGGGTACCTGTGTAATTTCGCGCGTGAAAAATTTTCTGCAGTCATCCCAGTTTGTAATCATTGCAATTTAGTCACTAAAAAGCAATTCTTGATCATTTTAATTTAATCTTCTAACTTTATTTTATTATGTTTTAGTCCATACCAGTATTTATATATTTTATGATAAATACTAGATTTAGTCCCTCATAATTTTATAAATTTTATTTTAGCCCTGAATAAATAATTAAGGTTAAATTACACTATTAATTATTATATTTCATAATATTACGAATTAGGGTGTTTAATTTTAATATATTCTAATTTAGTCATTATTTTTAATATCTTCATTTATTTTTCATTACAAGCTTTATTGTTTTTTTATATTTTAAATATATATTTTTAATTTTATTTATTTTAGTCACTATTTATTTATATTTTAATTTAATTTTATATGTTTATTTACAATATTATTTTATTTTTTTTAATTATTACTTTCATTATTATTATTATTTTATTATTTTCATCTTAATAATATATATATATATATATATATATATGTTTAAATAAATATTTACTTATTTTTTAATATCGAAGAAAAGAGCTGTCTTAAGGCACCTAGAAGCCATTTTTTGATATTTTTAAATAAATAAATATCTTACTATATTAAAATAATTTTTTTATTATTATCTTAAGAAAATGTTTTAGTCATTTATTTATTTTTTAATATCAAAGAAAATAGCTGTCTTAAGGCACCTAGAAGTCCTTTTCTGATATTTCTAAATAAATAAATATTTTATTTATAAATATATATAAATAAATAGATTTTCTTAAAATTATAAATTTGAAATAACATAATTATAAATTAAATATATCTTTGAATTCTTAAATTTCTAACAATAGAGACAATTTATAATTAATAAAGTACCAATTTTGGGCGTTGTAGGGGTGCTAATCCTTCCCTAAACGTAACCGACCACGAATTCCTTTTTATTATTAAAAGGAACGAATCTTTGGTTAAAAAGCAGGTCAGTTTATCTTTTAACTAATGTTTTCTTAAAAACTCTTTTAAAAGATAATTTTTAGGTATTTGACCTACCTGATCCAAAAGGTCAATGGCGACTCCCAAAATATTTTTTTAAAAAACAAAATCATTTATTTATTTGTGTTATTTTTTTCCGCCAAGTTAAAAATTTCGTGCCCGGGCGAAAACCGGTTGCGACAGCTTGGTGACTCCGCTGGGGAACGTCAAACTTTAAAATCAATTGTAAATTGTCTCTATCAGTTGGAAATTAAAAATTCATATATTTAATTTTTAATTCTTTTCTTTCAAATTTTTTATTACTTATTATTTTTATACTATTTTATTAATATTTTTTATTTATTTTATTCATGTATTAATTATTTTATTTGTCTGTCAGAGGTTTGAACATTTCTCCTCACACACAACACATGCATTACATAACATAAGCTTTTTAATCAAGCTTGTCCCTTTTAAGTGGGAGTGAAAGCGACGTCTTCGTGAGAATTTATTCTCCGTGTCAGGCATAGAGAAATGTGTCCCCTCGAATTGAACTCGATCCACTTAAGTCTGTGATGGGCTAGGATTGAGGGTTGGCAGCCCAAGGGGGCATCAACAAGGACAATTCGAGTACCTTTACTCCTAGAACTGAAACTCTGCATATAATAAACCCTATAAATTCTCCTAATCTAAGACAATACTGAAACCATGTCCATAGGTGTACACAAAGGATAAATAAGTTTTAGCTTTTAATTTATTTAATTTATTATTTTCTTCTCTCTGAATAAATGCATGTGAACTAGAAATCATGCAGTTAGGTTAATTTTTCCAAACAAAGCATGGAACTAGAAAGCATGAGGTTAGGATTTAAACTTTGATAAATAGGATCTTTTCTTTCCATTAATTGGTGCTAACCAATTTCTTTTTTCACTTCTCATTTTTTTTCATACATATTGTTTGCTCTAAACTTGTTTATATTTGATTTCTTTTGTTTGCATTGCATGATCATGCCATAATCAAAAGGTGTTGATTTGAAAGACTATTCATCAAATTGGAAAGAAATCGTAAATGGACAAAAAGTTTTATGATCAAACAAAATATGATGCGGCCAAGGAAAAACATCCTGAAGAAACTACGAGGATCGAGGGAAGTTTTGTACATAGAGAACCGGTTATATTAATACCAAAAGTGTTACACAAAGATCCTACCAGATTGATACCAAAAGCAGTCTATGGTAAGAACAACAATCAGGGCATTCAGAGTAGTGGAGGATTTTATGAAACTCAAGCATGTTATTTGAAGGACTTGAACGACCAAAACAAGAAATTGAGCACAGAAATGAAAACCATGCATGAAGATTTTCAGAAGATCAGTCAAGCCTTTCGAAATGCTGGCATAGGAAACACCCCAGAAGAGTGGATCACAGGGTCACCAAATTGAAGAAGAACTGTAACATACATGAAGGACGAGCCAAGAAGTTTTATCATAATTCACGAGTTGCAGAAGAAAGATGCAATACGTCTGTTAGTGAATTGAAAATATGTCAAGTCGAAAATCAAATGTTGAATAGTGCTATGACCAACATGGAAGCTTATATCATATTCATCAGCTTGATATTGATACTGAATTAAAAGCCACTAGAGCTAAGAACAAAACATTGAAGAAATGTTTAGATGATTATGGGAATCTTGTACGAGAACTTCTTTAACATAAAGATTCTCTCATAAGAAAAAATGAGCAACATTGTTCACAACTCCGAGAATTGACACGGAAGATGAAGGAAAAGGACAATATCATGAAGGAAGCTGTTGTTCAAGCAAACAATGTGGTTCATAAGTTGGTGGACTTAGCTGGCTTCACAAGAGAATTAAAGCAGATTGATAACTCCACACCTGAGCATGAGTGGAAGTTAATTTGGCTTTTAAGGGAAATAGAGAAGTTAGGAGTGAAAGCTATCCCCTACATGTAAAGTTTTGTTTGATGTACCAAAACTTTTATGTTCATTGAAATATGTTCTAAGATGATCACTCTTGAGTAACACCTTTTCATACATGCATTTGCATTCTGCATCTTTGCATTTTGCAATTATACTTTTACATTACACAATTTACATTCCCATTTTTTACATTTTTCACATTTACATTTCAGTTTTATTTAAATATTGTTATATGCATATAAATAATTTATGAAATGTTTTATAAAATTAAAATCGAGATCATTCATTCATTAAAAGAAGGATTTCAACCGAAGTGATCTTGGTTCTTACTTGTAGCAAAAACGCTTAGCACGACACAAGGAAAATATATAAAGAAACTGAGGATAGGCTAGCCAAATTTGAGATAGAGCAGAAAGAGACGCAAGAAGAATTGAGGAGCAAGTTGGTACAAGTTGAAGCTAATATCGCAAATTCTCATATCAATATACTGAACAAGTTGGAAGAAATGATTGGGAAACATTTGACCACTGGGAAAAGTCTTGTTAAAAACCCCACATATCCTCTTGGTGTTACATCTGTTTACATTCCGAGGCATACTTCTGCGCATCAGGAAATCCAACCACCAGTTCACTTCACTGTTAAAGACCCACAATATCAGGCTGGAGCTTCGTTCCCCACTGATTATCCTATTGCTTCTGAGTTGAAGCCAGATAAATTTTGTAATGAGGTCCCTGACTCAAATGAATTAATTGAAAAGAAAAAAAACTTATCCAACGATTGACAAATGTAGAAGAGGTGATAAAATCTAGAGAGACGACTGATTCATTTTATGGGTTTGAAGCCAAAGAACTAAGTTTGGTCCCCGACCTAATTCTCCCACCAAAGTTCAAGGTTCCAGATTTCGAGAAGTATAATGGGACCACATGCCCCACATCTCATATCACCATGTATTGTCGTCGCATGACTAGCTATGTGAAGAATGAAAAGTTATTGATTTACTGTTTTCAAGAAAGTTTATCTGGACCTGCTTCCAAATGGTATAATCAGCTAAAACATACTCAAATACGTTCTTGGAAAGACTTAGCTCAAGCTTTTTTGGGTCAATACAAGGACATGAGTGATATGGCCTTTGATCGAACAACGTTACAAAACCTGAATATGAAGTGCAGCGAGAACTTTCGACAATATTCATAACGATGGAGAGACGTTGCTTCTCAAGTGCATCCACCATTGACGGAAAGGGAATTCACTACTTTGTTCATCAATACATTAAAATCTCCCTATATTAATCACATAATAGGGGCTGCCACTAATAATTTCTCTGACATCGTCATGTGTGGAGAAATGATCGAAATAGCTATCAAGAATGGCAGGATAAGAGGCTTTGATAGTACTGACGTCGAGAGAAAATCCGAGATCAATACAGTGAGGTCTTATTCAACTAATCATGGGACTAAATCTTATAGAATGACTCGAGAGAAAGCTCATATTGATGAAATTCCAATGACATATGAAGA